TGGATGCTCAGGAGTAGATATATTTCAGAGTCAATCAACTCCCAAATATCAGGAGCATAGCATTAATGGTCTTTCTGTATTGCTCTATGGCAAAATATAAAAAGGCCATAGGGGAAAGAGAAAAGCAGGTAATTCACTTCAAATACAAAGTCCAGAGTCACCAAAGTTTGGCTTATAAGCAGCTAAGTCTGACTTGTGGAATTGTGACAATGAGAGGTAAAACACAAAGGAAAGGTTAAAGATAAACTCAGGGGATTAGAGGTGCTTACAAGAGTACTGTAAGCTTCTCTGGGAGGAGGAAAAAGGCCAACTCACTGATGAAGCCTAAAACACTTAGGGTTAATATCCAACACTCTGGTATGTAAGTTTTGTGACTGATATCTCCAGGTTTTCCCAGAGTCGGGATCAGCTACTTCCCCCATCTCCCTGTACTACCAGGAGCCCTGTCTCTGTCTGTCTCTTTCTCTCTGTCTCTGTCTCTCTCTCTCTGTCTCCCTCTCTCTGTCTCTGTCTGTCTGTCTCTCTCTCTCTCTCTCTCTCTCTCTCTCTCTCTCACACACACACACACACACACACAAACACACCAAAGCCTCCACCCAGTTAAAAATTTAACTCCAGCTGTATCACCCATTAAAAATTTTGAACTTCCTGGAGCATTTGTTGGCCGGACAACATCTCAAACTCTACAACACTGATAAACCAGTAGTAGCACACTAGACTGAATGGGATGTAAGTAATGAATATGAACATGGAAGGTTTAACATGTAACAACATCTTAGTAATCTCTCATATGAGGACTTAATGGCTTCAAGGTGAGCTTGAACAATCTTCACTAACGTGTGTGTGTGTGTGTGTGTGTGTGTGTGTGGAGATCACACCTGGCAATGCTCAGGGGTTACTCCTGGGCCTGCACTCAGGAATTACTCCTGGTGGTGCTCAGGGGACCATATGGGTTATTGGGGATCAAACCTAGGTCGCCTCATGCAAGGCAAATGCCCTACCCACTGTGCTATCACTCTGGCCCCACTAACTCTCTTCTAAGAAAACATTTTTGGGCATTCTCTTAGCAAATTATTGATAATCAAGCACTATTAAATAAATTATTGACGACCTGCTATGGGAGCAGGCTTAAGGGGTGGTTGGGAAAACTGGAGACAATGGTGGAGGGAAGGAGTAATGGTGATGGGATTGAAATATTGAATGCCTACAACAAATCATCATGAGCAACTTTGTAAACAACAGTGTTTATATAAAGTGTAAAGAGAACATTGGAAAACATAAATAAATTAAATGGCAAAAAAAGAAAAGAAGGAGACGGTGTGGTGGGAGGTGGGAACACAGCTGCTGGGTCACAGGAGAGGAAACTGCAAGGTCAGCGCCTTGCTTTAAGCAGCTTCAATAGGTGTCACTTCCCTACAGAAAATATAGGCAGTGCAAAGGCTAAAGCACTTGCCTTGCAAGCAGCTGGCCTGCTTTGACCGCCAACACCACTTAAGGTCCCTGGAGTCCCACCAGGAGTGATCCCTGAACGGTCCCTGAATATACCGCCATCCCCGACAAAGAAAAAGTGAGAGGAGAAGGTGAAAATTTAGAGAACAACCAGTTTAAGAGACAGGGAGACTTTGTTTTGGGGCCACCCCCAGTCATGTTCGGGGGTTACTCTTGGCTCTGCACTCAGCAATGACTCCTGGCAGTGCTCAGGGGATCAAACCCAGGTCACAAGCAAGGCAAACGTCTTCCCCAGTGTACTACCACTCTAGGCCCCAGACAGGGTGATTTCAGAGACAGACTGAGATGACCACAGAGATTCCTCCTGCCGCTACTCTTTATTCTTTTATTTCCTTTTAAAATAGCAGATTCACCAAGCTCATCTCTTGGTGCACCCAGCCACTGTCTTGATGAGACTGCCCCCTGGAGGCCAGCCGAGCTGCAGCCCATCTGGTCTCTAGCTGTTTCTGTCAGCGCTGAGAGCTTGGTGTTACACGAACGACTCATGGAGTCACCTCAGTAAATTCAGGCACAGGGACCAGAAAGAGGGTAAGACACTCGGCTTGCATCAGTAGAGCTGGGTTCGATCCCCAATATCCCCCCAATATGGTCCCCTGAGCACCGCCAGGAATCATCCCTGAGCACAGAGCCAGGAATAAGCCCTGAGCACCGCTGGGTATGGCCCCCAGCAAACAAACAAACAAACAATTTCAGCCAAAGACACCAGCATAAACCCTATTTTCCTTTTGAGGAAATGGGCATAGGGAAACTAAGAAATGTTCCAAGGATGCTCAGGGAGCAAGAGGAGATGCTGGGGCTGAGATCCAGGTGGGACACTCTAGGCTAGTGACCATGATGCTCTATGGCCTCACGGCCTCTGTTTAGAGAATTCAATGATGAGCAGGCGGTGCCCGCCTCTCCTGGGGAACTGCAGTTGATGGTATTCCTGTTGCCAGCTCGCAGAGGGCCCAGGAAGTTAGGAGGTGCCAGGCCATCAGCTTGTGGCCCTCACATCCATCTTCCCTTCCCACAGTGAACAATCTTGCAAAGATCATCTAAAAACAAACACAATCGCAAGTTTTGCCAGGTCAGGAAGTAACTGAAATACTAGGAATCTGTTATTACATTTTTACCCTAAGTGCTGAATGTCACAGACAGCAATAAAATATTCAGAGGGAAAAAAAATGCCCCATGTCTCCTGCAGGAAGCGAAAATCCTGATAAATGATGATAAAGAGGATCTAGAACAACTGCTTGTAAGCGGCTGCTTAAAAAACAGGCTTTAATGGTAACTTTAAACCCACATGTCATGGGGAGGTATTTTAAAAGAAAACTTTCTTGACAAATGCAATTTATTATAAAAAAATGTTTTATAGACAAAATAATCATTAAAATCATTGGAATGGTTTTTCTGTGTAAAAGGTATGCTGGTGCTCACACATCGTTTGAGGTGCTGGCCGAGGCCAACCCCTTTGCTCGCACACGCCTGGCGGGCATGTCCTGCAGGGCCTGTGGTGCTGGGGACGGCAGAAAGCAGTGTTGCATGCCCTGGCTCGGTATTTTGGTGGTTCGGGGGTTCATGACTTCCCTCCAAGCTGCTGAATTTGACCCGAGGGCTGCAACTTCACTTTGGTATCAGGCCATAGGTGCATCTGCCAAGTGCTCAGATAACGGTAATGGCGTTTGTGAAAAGAAGAGGCTTCTTACTGTAAGCTCCATCAGACAGGAGACACAAGGCACCCTGGGGTTCATCTCCCTGCTTCTTTGTATTAGGAGCCTTTTTTAAGAATAGAGGGGCTGGAGCGATAGCACAGTGGGTATGGAGTTTGTCTTGCACGTGGCCAACCCGGTTTCGATTCTCAGCATCCCATATGGTCCCCTGAGCACTGTCAGGAGTAATTCCTGAGTGCAAAGCCAGGAGTAACCCTTGTGCATCGCCAGGTGTGACCCTCCTCCCCCAAAAAAAAGAGAGGTGAGGGGAAGAGTTCGGGAATGTGGGGGATCTTGGCCTGGCAGCTTCTGATTGGTTCAACCTGTTTCCTCCCCCCCGCCCTTGTTGCCAAAGCCAACTCTATGGCACAAGAAAGGGAGAAAACCAGCCTCTTTCGTACAGAGACTCCTCTGCTATGCCAGAATTTCCTCAGGCCAACACGGCAGAAAGGATAGGCCAGTAGTCAGACTTGCTGTGGCCACTTCCAGGCCATGTGGAATATTGTCACAGGGTAGTGGGCACACTGGCCGCGACTGCAGACACTCGGGACCTCTGCCTGTGGCAGCCTGAGGGATGGAGCTAGGAATGGAAGGAGGGCTCCTTCTTGGGTCTCACGACGAACCTGTTTCCCAGGTCACTTCTCCTGCCCTTTCCCGTCTCCTACTCTCTCGAGCATGTCTCGGTGTGACTCTGCTGCCACATCAGCCCCAGGGAGTCCTGGCCTGCTGGGACCTTGCCACCTTGCAAGAAGTTCACTTTGTTTTGGTTTTGGGCCATACCCAGTGGTGCCCAGGGATCACTCCTGGTGCAGCTCGGAGGACTTTATGGTGTCAGGTTTGGCCATGTGCAAGCAAAGAGCCCTACACACTGTACTATCACGACTTCGCCTCAGCAGGGAGATATTCAGGGATTCTCCAAGCCCGGAGGACGAGGGCCTTGGCGGGGCTGAGGGGGGGGGGGGGGGCTGGAAAAGGGCCGCAGGACCTGTTCTTTGGCAGAGGAGCTCTGAGTCGTTCGTGGTCTTCACTATAGCACTTTCCTAGCATGTTCCCAGATGCATGCAGGAGTACTGGTGGCCAAAGACGCCCCAGAAGTTTGGTGTCAGGGACAGAACCCAGCTGCACTCAAGGCATTTACATCTGAGCACTGAGCCCCAGCTTCTTTTTCTGGGCATCTCTCACATCAACTGCCTACAGTGGGTCCTTGAACAAAATATTCTCTAGGTGATCCAAGCCTACATTGTTAACAGATCCGAATTTGTATTTGGAAAGTGCAGGCAAAATCAGGAGGCCCTGGAGCTGTTTTTCTTCTTCCATGTATGTGATTACTTGCCTTTGGGGCCACACCTGAGGGTGCTCAGGGCTTACTCCTGATGCTGTGTTCAGGGATCACTCTGCAAGACTCAGGGGGCCATATGGGATGCCGGGGATCGAACCCGCATAATGGCGCACAGCCTATGGTACTACCTGTACTATTGCACCGGTCCCCAGGCTTGTGGTTTTTGCTGTAAATACTCATCTCTGTTGGAGTCTCACGGAGAGAGTGCAGCTGTATTCCATTCAAGCCTTATCTATAAGGAGTAGGCCACACTGAGTCCATGGACTGCATTTTGCCCACCACAACCCTTGACGATACTTGGGAAGCGACCTAAGGGAGAGAGAACAAACCCGTCTGCTTCCCTGAGGCAGAATCCTTTAGCGTCTGGTGTTACGCCGAGAGATGTACATGGGGCAGCACAGAGCACAGAGGGTGGGAACTGGTCCCCAGGTGGTGAGGGAAGGAAACAGAACCTGAGGCCCACACAGGATGTAGCTTATTTATAAGAAACACCAACTTTACTCCCGGTCAGGCTCAACCCGCCCGCCCCAGACCATGTGGCCCTGGGCAGGTGCGGGCCTGGCAGGCCACTAGGAGCCCTGGTGCTGGGGCCTGACCACCTGGCCCTCCTTGGTGATGGCCCAGTTGTAGCTCTTCGGGGAGTCCAGTGCTTCCTGAATTTTTGCCTCCAGGTTCTCGTGGGTGATGAAGTTTTTCGCCTCCTCCTGTTGGGAGAGCAGCAGCTGCTTGAAAGGGGGATCCGCACCCATGTGCTGACGGCTCCAGCACTCCCTGGGGAAGCGTCTGGACCCCGCTGACCTTCCCCTGAGAACCCAGGGCAGCCCTGCCACATTCCCTTTTCTCAGATGCCTCAGCCAGGTCCTCCACCTGACACGGTGAGGGGTGGTAGGGGGTCCTGCAGGGAGAGGGAGAAGCACCTGGGGTGCTCAGGGGTCACTCACGGCGGGGCTCAGAGGGCCACATGAGATGCCACGGTTGAACCTGGTCTGCCAAGTGCAAGGCAAGCGCCCTACCCACTGTACTCTCTCCCGGGCCCCTGTCGGATTACTCTGAACTTGAATCCTCCCACCTGCCATCCCCGACCTGAAGGTAACCAGAGGGTCAGGTTACCCTCTGACAGCCTGACCACGGGAGAAGCAGAAGCCGACTTCCCTGGAATGTGGAGTCCGGCCCACGTCCACACTGCCTTCCGGGGGGGCGGGCCGGTGGGTCCAGCTCTCACAAACCCTCCCAGGCTAACGTTGCATGCCCTGGTCCCCGCGGGGCACCCGCTCCACCCCCGACTCGACTCCCCACGATACCCACCTGCAGCTGCAGCACCTCGCGCTCCTTGAGCTGCGCCCAAGCCTGCGCCTCCTCGGCCCGGCGCGCCGCCTTCTCCGCCCGCCGCTGCTCCAGCTCCTGCGTCTCGCGGAGCTGCCGGGCGATCCTGGGGGCGGCGGGGCGGTGAGCACCGGGACCCTGCGCCCCCCGGCCCGGCCCCGGCCCCCAGCCCGGCCCCCCCCCGCCCCGCCCCGGTCGCGCCCCCCGACCCCGCCCGCTCACCGCAGCTCGTGCAGCCGCTGGTTCTCGGCGCGGTTCCAGGCCATGAGCTCGCGGTGCTCGGCCGCGTCCTCCGAGGCCTTGCGCTCCGCCTCGCTCCCGACGCGCGCCTCGTACAGCTTCCTCCGCACCTCGGTCACGAACTCGTGCCTGGGGGCACAACGCACCGGGTGGGCTCGCTGGCCGCTCCCCTCCGCCCGCCCGCGCCCCGCGCCCCGCGCCCACCCGCACCTGAGGGCGCCCACGGTCTGCCGGTACAGCCGGTAGCGCTCCGTCAGCACGTAGAACTCGGCGGGGTCCACGGCGGGCGGGGTCGCCACGCGCCCCGCCTTGGACTTGGCCGGCGGGTCATGGCGGGACTTGCGGCCGCGCAGCTGCTGCACCTGCAGGGCCCGGGGGCTGCACGCGAGCCGCGACCCCGGGCAGCGCAGCGCGCCCAGCATGTCGGAAGCCGCCGGGCCCCGCCCCGCCCCGCCCCACCGCGGAGCATCACGGGAGCCCGGCGGCCGCGGAGCATCACGGGACTTGTAGTTCGGGGCTTTCTTGGCGGACACCCCGCGGCCGCGCCATCCCTGCCCCACCCCCGGCTGGGTTGGCTCTGGCTGGGCTATACTTGCCAGCACCGCTAAGTCCCCCCTCGCCGGCGAACCTTGAGTCGGGACGGGAGACGGGACTTCACTGGGGACAGGGATGGGAAAGGGAGGGGAAAAAGAAGAAAACTCGGGCAACGACTTCGGAGACCGCATCTTTATTGGAGGGTCGAGGGGCGTCGGGGGGCAGCTCGGGCACGGCTCTGCGGCGGCGGGGGCGGGAAGGGAAGAAGGAGATGGTTATTCCAGTGCACGATTCGGGTCGCCGGCTCCTGCCTCCTGCGCTGACACCCCTCTTCCCCCGGATCCCCTCCCTCCCGCTCTCTTTGGGCTCACCCTGGGGTGGGGGGTTTCCAGCTTCCTGGACCTGCAGTGTTGCCCGCCCTAGACGGAGTGGATTATATAAGAACTCGAGTTCACGTCACTCGAATGAGATAGGTTTTGCCTTTTGGGAATCGACCACTTTCTCCTTTATAGAGCCCCCTGGTGCACTTTATTATTATTGGCGCAGTGCGGAAATCAATTCAGGGCCCCCCCCAACACGCAGAGCAGGTGCTCTGGCCCTGCGAGCCATCTCTCCAGGGATCCTCTGCTGCATCTTAAGTTCAATTTGCAAATCAGTAATACAACGTCTCTCCACTCCCTGTTTTGGGGGGCATAGGGGGCACACCCAGCAACGCTCAGGGGTTACTCCTGAATCTGTACTCAGGAATTACTCCCGGAGTTGCTGGGGACCAGGAATGTCAGGAAGGTCAGGGATTGAACTGGGTGGACTGCATGCAAGGCAAACACCCTCTCCACTGTACTATTGCTCGAGTCCCCATCCCCTTTCCTTCTTTACGGCCTTGGGGAACACGAGGTCATTCCCAGTGCACCTTTTTCTGTTGCCTATTGTTTTGGAGGTGTGGGGTGGGTGAATGGGTGGGCAGGTTGGGTCACAACCGGGGATTCTCAGGGGTTGGAAACGGGGTCAGTCACACGTAAGGCAAGCGCCTTACCCCAGTACAATCTCTCTGCCCATGCTACCTGTTATGTGAGGCGATAGCCCTCACTTCTGTCCACTGGCAGACAGGGGGCTGCACGCTTAGCTTTTAGTCTAACCATCTCCTATTCTTTTAGTGACTTTTGATCATTCACACAGCATAAGTGTCCTATCATAGAATCCTGGGAAGTAGGAAAGCTATAGAGATGTAGATGCTGTGGCAAGGAAGTCTCATCCGCCTCCCTCTTCAGCCCCAGCCCTTGGTCATGGTGCCCCCTGGTGGCTCCTCATAGCACTTACCAGCAATGTCTGCAACAGGCGCTGCTTCTCCTGGAGGGATCCCAGGGCCATGGTCTTGTCCTCCCAGGGCACAGTGTCCTCAGGAGGTGCCAGGGCACTGCTTGAGAGACTCTCTGCAGTCTGGCCCGGGTTGCCTGCTGCAGGGCCCAGTCAGCACTTCCTCAGAGGGAAGCCATGGCAGCAGCCTGCCCTCCCTGCTGGTACCCCAGGCTCAAGGTAGGGGAAGGAGCAAGGTGGAGAGACCCATCACCCACCTGGGAGCCTTGGAGCAGGCAGAGGGTCCTGGGGTGAGTCGGAGGCTCGCTTTCCTCCAGGGTACCAGCCATGGGACCAGTGCTGAGCCTTCAGGGGTCCCGGGTGGGCCGTCAGCAGCAGCAGCAGCAGTAGTAAGCCTTGCCCAGTGCTGGCCATGGCGGAGCTGCTTGCCTGGACAGGGGATGGCACTCAGGGCACCTGATCCTGCGCTACATACCCGCTTCCTCTTCTCCCGGGGCCCCTTTGAACTGGCACTTTAGGGGCAGACTCAGTGTCGCCTAATGCAGTTTCCTCTTCTGCCACTGCTCATGTGAGGACTATAGGCGTCCAGAACCAGTGTGTTCCCAGGGCTCTGGAATAGAGAGGCTCTGCAGCCTGTGTAGTTGTGCGCGCGTGTGTGTGTGTGTGCGTGTGTGTGTGCACGCGCGCGCATGCACACACATACACCCACATGCATCTCACATCCTGCTGTCTGGCTTCATGGATTACACCTGGCTCTGAGCTCAGGCATCACTCCTGGTGGGGCTCCGGGAAACATGTGGAGCCAGGAATGGATCCCAGGTTGGCAGCTTGCAAGCAACCGTCCTGCCCACTGCACTGTTTCTCTAGCCCATCTTCCAGTTCTGGGAACGTCCCCCTGGGTGAGGCCTAACCGTACCTCCCTTTGACTCTGGTGGGTCCCAGAAGTGGAAGAAGGTTGGAGTGAGAAGACTCCAAGCCCATGGCTGAGGGGAGTCCTCCATCAGAGACAATGTGGGGAGCCCTCTGCTTCCCCTTTCCCTGCATAGCTTGGGGATGTGAGGGGCTGTCAGGGGGTGACAGTGCTTCCATCCTCGGTCCCTCCTGCATTCAGGGCAGTGGGTCCAGAAATAAAGTTGGGGAGAGCCGAGGGAAAGGTGGCATTGGGGGGCATGCTGCGGGGAGGAAAAGGGGCTGGGGGTGGGAGGCCATGCACCCAGGATGCAGCCCCGCCTTGGAGGCCACCTCCTCACTCACCTGGGGAAGCCGGGGACCAGGCGGCTCCTGAGACAGCAGTGGCAGCCCCGAGACTGCCTGTTTTATTGGTCAGGTGGCCCCGCCCTCTGCTCCTAGCCCAGGCTCCAGTGACGTTGCAGAGGGGAGGGGAGCCGCTGGCCACCCAATCCAGGGGTCACCAGACATGCTCCCATGCTCTTCTGGGGGATCTGAAGTCGTAGGAGTCCTGCTCGTGCTAAGATTAGAAAGCCCTTCCTGCCCCCTCAGCCAAAAAAGGAGACAGAAGCTGAAAGGGCGGTGGGTCGGAGAAAAAGCACAGTGGGTAGGGCATTTGCCTTCCACGCTGCTGATCCTGTTAGATCCCCAGCATCCATATGGTCTCTGAGCACTGCCAGGAGTAATTTCTGAGTGCAGAGCCAGAAGTAACTCCTGAGCATTGTCGGGCATGATGTAAAAAGCCAAAAAAAAAAAAAGTCAAAAAACAAAAAAACAAAAGCAAAAACAAAACCCTGAAAGGGGCGGGGGCCTCAGGACTTCCTGAGTCCCAAGAGCTCAGGTGGGAAGCAAGAGGCCTGTGAGCCGGGAAGAGCCCATGAGCCTGTGAAGAGGCTGAGGGAGGCTGTGCTCACCCTCTCAAGGCCTTGGCGTGCCCACCTGCAAAACAGCTTGGGGGTGTTCTTTAGTCTGTCATTCCAGGTAGAGGTGGGCTGGGGAAGGCCTCGTTTGCCCTCAGGCCCAGGAGAGGGTCCTGCTAAGGATGAGCGGCGCTGGGGCTAAGAGCAGGAGGGAGTAAGGGTGCTCTCGAATTCCCACCGCTCCCCATCCTGGGCTCAGTTCAGGACTAGTGTGGGATCTCGTCATAGCTGTCCAGGCTCTGCTTCCCACCTCCAGCTATTAGTCTGGGGTTGGGAGAGACATGGAGGTCTGTTGACAAGGTTAATAGCCAATCTCCGCCGGAGGGCTCAATAGCAAGTATGAGTGCTGGGGGTCAGGCTGGGCATCCTCGTGGCCAACCTTGGGTGAATACGTCAGATCCTGCGGCAGACAGGAGAGGGGGTGTAAGAGGCACTGGTGAGAGTCAAGGGCACCCCCTGACTGGAAAGGACAGGTAGATTTCTAGACTTCTCCACCAGGAGATCTGCAGTGAATGTGTGGGTTTATCTATTTAAATTGTTTTGGGGAACGAGTTGTTTCTGTATATACTGGTATACCAAATAATTAAATTTTATTTTTTGTTCTTGGACCACACTCAGCTGTGCTCAGGGGTCACTCCTGGCAGTGTTCAGGGGGCCATATGGGATGCCAGGGGTCAAACTGGGTTGGTCGCATGCAAGGCAAGTGCCCTACCCACTGTGCTAGCATTGCTCTGGCCCTGCAAATAATTTATTTATTTATTTATTGCTTTTTGGGTAACACCCGGCGATGCACAGGGGTTACTCCTGACTCTGCACTCAGGAGTTACTCCTGGCGGTGCTCAGGGGACCATACGGGATGCTGGGAATTGAACCTGGGTTGGCCGCGTGCAAGGCAAACGCCCTACCTGCTGTGCTACCTCTCCAGCCCCAAATAATTACTTTTTAATTGATTCCCTGTCCCTTCCTGTTGTGATGATGGCGGGGGGGGGGGGGCAAATACTAGGTTATGGGGCTCACTGGAGCTGCACTTCTCTGTTGTGCTCAGGAATCTGAACAGCACCATCAGAATTGTATCCAGGGGGTCAGAGATTCCCAACACCCTATATGGTCCCCTGAGCTGATCAGGCATGATCCTTGAGTGCAGAGCCAGGAGTAACCCCTGAGCATCGCTGGGTGTGGCCCCCCAGCCCCCCCCAAAAAAAAAGAAACTGAAGCGTGTTCAGTCTGAGTGATGCTGGGGATGTCTCATGCTTCCAAGACAGGACCTTTGGTCACTGAGCTATCCTTAGGCCAAACCAAACCATTTTTTAGGAAAACATTTGCTTTGTGGTTTAATGAACATGAGTTCAATAAACCAGTTTAGTTCTGGTTGGGTTTTACAGAATGTTTTATTCAAAGTCACTGGTGTTTATTTAAAAGAAAAAGGGATGCCCTTTTTTTTATTTGACTGTAATCCAAGCCAGAAGTACTAAACTACTAAGCGTGGGCTATGCCCTGGTCCCTTTTGTTCTGGCAATACATGTTAGCTTTTTGCTGGGGAGGGGATAACCGTATGTACTCAGGGCTTAATCCTGGCTCTCTGCTCAGGGATCAACTCCTGGCAGGCTCAGGGCACCATATGGGGTGCCAGAGCTCAAACCCGAGTCAGTCGTGTGCAAGGCAAGTGCCTGATTTGCTGCGATAGCTCTGGCCCCAAGCTTCTCAGGAAAATCTATGGTCCCCTTGTAGATCATAACTCTAGAATTTGTCTTCTCTCTCAGAACACAGAAAGCCATTTGTTCACACCATTTAGCTTCAAACAGTGCTCAGCCCCGAGGACCCATCACCTTACAGCCACTTGGGAGAATAGAGGTTTCCAGTTGAGTGGGACAGACTTCTGACCGGGTGGTCTCAGGTGAGTGATGGAGATGTAGGGATACTGCAGCAGAGGACAGTGGACTCTGGGAGCCCCTGGGTGTGGGAGAGGCGAGACTGGTGCTTCTCTGGAGTCGTGCGGCAGGAAGCAGACTCTAGTCCTGGGGCCCAGGGGCCAAAACATGCACTCGGGGATGCTCGAGAAAGGAAACCAAGAAGCAGCAGCTCGAGAGTGAAGCTGAAAGTCCGGAGGGAGCGACAGCTGGGAGGGGCTATAGGCAGACGGGGGTTTCTGCGGCTCAGCCACCTTGGTGAGAAGGGGGAGAAAGAAACATGTGGGAGTGAGGTGAAGTGGGATGAATGAGAGTATGGGTCTTCTCAGGAAGTTAGCACAGTGGAGGAAGAACTCATTAGGGGAAGTGGTTTTTTTTTTTAATTATTTTTTTTAATTTTTTACACAAGAGTCCTGAGTGCTTACCAAGAGGCTGATGAAGGAAACGGAAAACCCAGGAGGAACTGAGTGAAGTGAGAGCTGGGAGAGTGGCAAGCCCAGAGCTTCGGGGTGCAGTGGGCACTTGACTCTCCTGAGAAACCCTGGTCCCAGCTTTGGTCTCCTGGGGACCTGGCAGGCAGGCGGTGGGAAGGACTGGTGTGGCCCCCCTGCCTGGGCCACAAGCCCCCAACACTTACTTATGCCTCAGTCGAGAGCAGTCCTCTCCATTTTTTTTTTTTTTTTTTTTTTGCTTTTTGGGTCACACCCAGCGATGCTCAGGGGTTACTCCTGGCTTTGCACTCAGGAATCACTCCTGGCGGTGCTTGGGGGGCCATATGGGATGCTGGGAACCGAACCCGGGTCAGCTGCGTGCAAGGCAAACACCTTACCTGCTGTGCTATTGCTCCAACCTCTCTCTCCATTTCTTATGGGGGTGAGAGGTTTGGACACCTGGTGCTGATCAGGGCTTAGGGGACCACATGGGGTGTTGGGGCAAGGGCCTTACTCTTTGTACTACCACTTTGGACCCAAGTTCAGCGTAGCTTCTACTGATTTCAATTAGAACCTTGTTAGCCCTGGCCTACACAAGAAAATGGGATGGGGTGATACCCTGTAAACTGAGGAGAGAAGGGGAAGAGCTGAGGATTCTTGCTTAAAGAAATGTCCAACATACCGGTTATATTTAAAATACTGGTCCAGGGGTTGGAAAGATAGCACAGTGGGTAGGGCGTTTGCCTTGCACATGGCCAAGCCAGGTTTGATCCCCAGCACCCCATGTGGTCTCCTGAGCTCTGCCAGGAGTGATCCCTTAGTGCAGTTAGGAGCAGTAAGCCCTGAGCATCGCTGGGTGTGGTCCCAACCTCACCCCCACTCCACCCCAATAATCGGTCCAGCTACCATCTAAATTAGCCCTAACTGCAGAAATCTGCCAGGCCATACATGGATGCAGATGCTTGATCCCCAGACAGTGCAGGATGTGAAAGGTTCCCCTGCTACCTGTGGGGTATGTGGCTGACCCAAGTCCACTGTCCACCATCGGCCTGGACTTGGCCACACAGAGGCACCTGAGGGCAGTTTGCAGGGAGCAGGATTTCCTTGCCAGACCTTGCATGCTTCCTCAGAATGTCCAGAGATGGTCTCTGGTTGGTCTCTCACGCTTCTTTGAGGATGACTGATGTTCAGAGCCCCTTGGTTTCTGTAGAA